AAAAAAAAAAAAAAGGACATTACTGGTCTTTTCCTTCCGTAAGACTTACCGTTTCCCTCGCTCCCCAGCACACGCCGGGACAACTCATAACTCCCCCTGGGCCACATCGCACGCCCCGTAACCACGGCGCCTCCCCACGTGTTATTCTGTTATTTTAGGGGAAGCTGCCAGCGCTGCTCTGAGTCCTCTCTGCTCTCGGGCAGCTCGCGGTCTCGCCGCACTGCTATTAAAAACCACCGCCGATGAACGAAAATTAGGCGGAGACGCGGCTCGAAGCGCCGCCCGCCACAGACAGCCCCGAATTCCAGGGCACCGCGAAACCTGGACTCTCAAATTCCTGGAAGCTCGGGATTTTGAAAACGTGTCCTCAAAGAATTCCCAGGTGGGAAACTGAAACAGACGCTAACGCCGCCCGTGAATCAGCGGAGACGCGGCTGAGAGCGTGGGCTCAGGAATCAGACGGGCTTGTGGTCAACCGGACGAGGGGGCCAGCTGGCGGCTGCGGACCCTCGGTCAGGTCTCGGACCATCTCTGAACGGTCAGGCTTCTTTTTCTCCGCATCTCTAAATGGGGATTAAATCTGTCTCAAAATGTTACGGGGACTACGTGGGATAAGGCATGAAAGGAGCCCCACGTAACGTACTCAATAAATTTTACATTTTTAAAGGTTATTGTTTGTTTTGTAAGTTATTGGTAAACTTAGATTTTTTATATATATATATATATGTGTGTGTGTATATATATATATGTATATATATATGTGTGTGTGTATATATATGGGTTTTTTTTTTCCCTAAGCTGCATTAAAATAACAGTTAATTTCTGCCCTGGCCAGTGCTGCTCAGTGGTTAGTGTTGGTCTGCGCACCAAAGGGTCACAGGTTCGAATCCGGTCAAGGGCTGCAGGTCTGAAATCCCCAGCCCCAGGTCGGGATGCCGGCAGGAGGCAACCAATCGATGTCTATCGCTCTCTCGCTCTAAAAATCATTTTAAAAAATCAGTAGATATTTGGAAGATGAAGCCATGGGAAGGAACAAGACCCACGGAAACGTCCCAGACTTACCACTGCAGGCAGGCATCTGGCAGGACCTCACGAGGGGGGGGCCCGGAAGATCCCTGCAGGAGGCCTCGCTGAGGGGGACGCGCCGGCCCTTGGCGGTCAGCCTCTGACACGTCTGCTTCCTTCGCTGGGTCCCGACACCACAGGTGACAGAGCACTGCAATGGGAATGGCGGGACAGAGGGAACTGGAGCGCGAGCCTCCGGAGAGGCAGCCAACGATGACACGCGAGCCATTTCCTAGGCGCCATCGCCTTTTTAAAATTTATTTAATATTTTTATTGATCTCAGAGAGAGGAAGGGAGAGGGAGAGAAACATCGATGATAAGAGTCATTGATCGGCTGCCTCCTGCGCGCCCCCTGCTGGGGATCGAGGAGCCTGCACCCCGGGCCTGTGCCCTGACCGGGAATCGAACCGTAACCTCCTGGTTCAATGAAGACATATTTGGAAAAAATAAAAACTAAAAGAAGCCGGACCTGTGAAGCTGCGACCGGCCCTCACCTTCGACCAGTCGCCCACGCTTAGGTGTGGAGGGCAGTCTGTCCTGGCACAGGACTTATGAGACGACGCCTTGGGTCCCTGGCACAGCTCATCGGAGAGGCTCAGAAAGCTGCCATCCGTCAACAGCTGCCGGCAGGTGACCCTCCGGTTCTGTGTGCCACCTCCGCAGGTCCGGGGACACTGAGAAGACGGGAGGGGGGAGTCAGTGCCGGGCTCT